TTGTCAGATACACCATTCTTTGTCTTCCATTGCAGCAATTCCAGTGTGGTACCCAACTTTTTCTGCCCCGCATCACAAGTTGGGTATAGCAATTTCTTGTGATCCTCTAGCATGCGCTCGAACTTGATCTTCTCCTTTTCACTTTCGCATTCTCTTTGTGCGTCACGAATGGCTTGACCAAGATCATCAGCGGGCTTATCTTCTGCCCCTACCTCTTCTTCAGCTTCCTCTATTGCAGTATCATTGAAGGCACCATATTCAGCAATAATGTCATCATCGTCCTATTGTTCTTCTTCACCTTCTTCCATTACAACCCCAGTTTCTCCGTGCTTCGTCCAACAAATATAGTTTGGCATGAAACCCGACTTCAACAAGTGTGAATGAAGACTCCTTGAGCTAGCATATTCCTTCAAATTCTTACATATGGCACATGGGCAGCACATGAAACCATCGCGTTTATTTGCCTCGTCCACACGTAAGAAAGAATGCACGCCCTCAATAAACTCTTGGGAGCGGCGATCAGCATTGTACATCCAATGCCGGCTCATCTGCATTATATGACATACATACCATATTAAAACCTAAAACATAATTAGTTAATTATACGACATGCATGCCACCACACAAGGTATTAATTTATGAAAGTCTTGCTACAATGTAGATAATCCCAACTATCACTAAAAAACTAAAACTAAAATACACTTCAGCAGCATAAGGATTTCGCGACCAATCCCAATTAAAACAGACATAGATCATGCGTTTGTTCAACATCTATGGGCTTCTTCCGCAGGATCACTGCCTCATCAGCCGCCGTAGCCGCCTGTGCAAGAGAGTTTTGCACGTGTTCAACATACTCTTCCTTCTAGTACCAGCCTGAACATCCAGTGCCATCCCACTAGAAATTAAAATAAAAATTTAGAACTTTAATCACAATTATCATAAAAATAAGTATAAATTAACCATAATCATCAAATACGACAAAATAACTCACATTGCGATCCGGACACTTGTAGAAGATACGGCCCTTGTTGGGACACTCCTTCCTCACCCGGTACTCCATCACAATCTTCTTCTCACACTTGCCGCATGCAATGAGAGGGAGGTCCACCTCAGTCGCTTTGAAACCCGATGAGAGACCGAGGACCCGAGAAGCAGTTGCCATCTACTCTCTATACTCATTTTTAATATAATATAAATTTCTCATTTTATAAACAAATAAAATCAAAAAAAATCTAAAATTCTCTATATCTCTAAACCATGAAGTGTGCTATGCATGCTAGAAATGAAAGCTGAATACTAGTTTTGAATAACTACTTTAACCTTCCTTCATCCAAATATACAAACTTTAAAGTGATTTTAAGCTTAAATGGCTTACAAATAAAAAAAATCCACCATAAAAAACCACATATATCTAGTCCACAAATTGAGATATGGTACTGATGAAACATGAGAGTATAAAGTTGGTAACCTTTAGAACCGAAGAATCGATGGAGGAATTGAAGAAATCTTGTGATTACTGGCGATGAGGAAGAAGAGAGGCCAGCGATGAAGCAAGAACACTGAGCTCGAAGTGGCTCGGGCTCGGGGAGGAAGAAGGGGTATATAGGAGAGGATCTTTAGTCCCTGTTGGAGACAGCAACCAGGACTAAAGGTCCCTTTCTAGTCCCAGACGGAGCCTCCAACCGGAAGTAGACTTTTACTCCCGGTTGGTATCTTCAACCAGGACTAAAGGTTCCCTGCAGCAAAAGCCTGCCGCAATAGTCGTTGGGCAGGGACCTTTAGTCCCGGTTGGAGCTACCAACCGGGACTAAATGTTTCTTTAGTCCTGGGCACGAAAAATACCGGACTAAAGCCAAATTTCAAAGTGGATCAAAAGTCATTTCTCTACTAGTGAAAACCATCAGACGGGTCTCAGGAAAACACTCGCGCCTCCGTTGCTCCTTTACAGAGACTGTATTAATCGACTATTTATAGTGACGGTCACCTTAGGACGCTAACCTATGTTAATAAATAATAGCAGCGGACTTCTAAAGAAGTCTGCATCTGGAAATGGCTATTAACAGTCAACAGAGATGGTCAGATGGTGATTCTAAAGGTCCGCCAATCGATTGACAGATACAACACTCTTCAAAATTCCTTCTTTTGAAATAGTTGCATAAAAAATAATTCATAACTCTTCCATACGGGCTTGAATGTACAATAGCCAAGGATGAGTTCGAGGATCAAGGTTACAGCTGCAACTCAAAGCCCTGGTCCATCACCGTCAAGCTAAACAGAGGGAGAAGACTGAAGGTCATCACAACATGTGTCCACCCCGCCGTGGACGACCCTACACCTATGGTGGTTGTAGCAACATCATTCTCTGGTCTTCTCCATAGCGGCGACGGGAGCATGACCCCCGTGAGACGAGAAAGGGGTTAGTTGATGGTGATTGTGCGCGATAGATTTAGGAGCAAGTCAGCAATGGAGGAAGCAAGATCAATAGATTTCGTTGGAGGTAAGAGGAAATTGACAGAGGTGTTGTATATGAGAGGGGGAGGAGAGAGAGGGGAAGGAGGACAGAGGGTTTTTTTAGTATGTGGTGTAGAGGAAGAGTAACTAAGAACATAGTGCTACGGATGGATGTTGGTGGGCCCTAGTGGAGCCTAAACCTGAGCAAATTTGCCCCTACTCGGCCCATGGGCCTAGATCAAGCCCATCGAGTTTAGCCCGGTCCGTGAGCTTTAGTGGATAGGGCCTAGACACACGTTCTATTGCCTAGAAAATGTTTTCTCAGTCGAAACCTAGGTCAAAAAATCTAGCCTGACTCATCTAATGGGCGATTCATGGGTAGGATTTTTTTCGGCCCGAAATAGCCATCCTTTTTTTATCCAGCCCGCAAAATGCTCATGTCTAGTGGAGCCAAAGCATCCTACAAATTAAGTCTATCTGGATGTCCAGTGCTAGCAGCTCAGGAATACCTATGCATTCACTGTCCTAGTAAAACAACTCGATAGCAAAGGTTGGTGGCTCTGGCCACTCAGAACATGCCAGGAGCGTCAATGAGCCAGTGGCTCAGTGGGAGCGCCACCTGCTCGAGTTTGATCCTTGGCTAGGATGACTTATGTGTTGCACGGGGATTTTTTTCTAGAGGGGATTGAATGTGTGTGTGAGTTGCTCGGTAGGCGTGTTTCGACACCGCTTGGAGAGTCTCATCCGTATTTGAGCGCTGGGTCAGCATGGGTGCCCATTCGAGTTCTTATATGATTAAGGATGGCAACGGATCAGGTTTGGGGCGGATATCCGCGGGTTTCGGGTTCTACGGGTTCGGGTTTGGGGATGGTTTTTACCCACGGTTTGCGGGTTCAAGGCCCCGAAACCAATCGGGTTCGGTTTCGGGTTTGGTTTTCCACCCGTGGATATCCAATGGATATCCGAAATAAATCATTTGGAATTAAAACTCATGTTTTATAATATACTAATAATAATTTGTTTACTTAGATTATTAAATTTATTTAAAGTTGACTCATAAAAATATTTATTATTTGTTGCCTCTTGTTTATACATGTAAATATGTGTAAATATATCCGCGAGTTTCGGGTATCCATTCGAGTTTCGGGTATCCGTTCGGGTTTCAGGTATCCGCGGGTTTGGTTTTGGTGATGGATTTCCACCCGAATCGGTTTTCGGGGCGGATTCGGGTCTCGATTTTGGGTTTTGGTTTTGGGTGCACGGAGACTCCACCCGATCCGAACCCGACCCGTTGCCATCCTTATATATGATGTGCTAGATCTCTGGTGATGCTAAATAAAACATGCCAGGGAGCACTATGTCACGGTCAAATGGAAGCGGAGGCGAAACCTACCTAGGAAGAAACAGATCGCTGCGATGAAGTTGGCCCAGTTGGTAGGCGTGCTATTCGACCCAACATATATTAATTCGGCCTAGGATCAAAGAACTAAACTCAGCCCAACCACAGCACTAGCAGTAAGAGGCTAGAAAACGTGAGTTCATCATCCTAAGGAGTGTGGGCAGTTTGTAAGGGCTAGTTTAGAAACTCAAATTTTCTTAGGATCCCAGACTTTTTTCAGGTAGAGCAATTGTCATTTGAATAACACACTTAATTCTCCATGGGGGACTTTCCATCCTTGGTTTTGTCTCTCCTTGCTTCCAATTTTCCAAATTAGGCCTAATAGGCTAGATATCAGCAGACAATCACTAGAGTTCGGCAGCCTATTAAGTCGGTCACACTGTACTCATACCTCAAGCTCCTCAGTTAGGCGTGGCCTCTTATTCCATTTAAATGCTGTATTGTAGCCCGCCGTGTCTGTTCTATTCACCATTTATCCCACTTAATCATCCGTTTAGCATGACAAAACCACTAAACTACAGGTGACCAGCTATTTAGGTTAGGTGAACACTTGTCTAGTGTGTGGTGTTCAGTGGTCTAATTCATGCATTTCTTGTGTCAAGGCACACTTCTCTTGCCTCACAATATGACAGTTACTACAGGGCTACTCGCGCTTCCTTAATTTTTAGTAGGAGAAATAGTGATGTAGTAACTGTAGACTGTTGGGAAAATACATCATAGTTTTCTTTGGCAGCCATTAGAGGTATCTATACTACTTAGCAAAAAAAAAAGGAAGTGTCTAATTGTCTATAATGTTTGTATATTGGTAGGGCAAGAACCATAAATTGCCGGAACGTTTTAAGTTTTATGGTAATCTAAAGTCGATTATCTAATTAAATAAAACAACTAAAGAAATAATGGTTTTGTTCACTTCTCTTATAATCCGTACTTTTCAACTTGTTTTTCAGCAGGAATAATGTTTTTCTCACACAATAAATCAGCCGGAACGGTGTTTCAACTTTTTTTTCAGCGAAGTGAACGGGGCCAATAGCTAAAACCTAACTACCCCACCTCACCCCATCAGAATGCAAAAGGCATTCAGTAACTATCTACAAAACCATCAAATTAAACAACTGCACCTCAAGCTAGGATTGATACCCACCGTCCGGCAATGAGAACGAGCCACGGAGCACTACTCGCCGTTGCCATGGTGGTGATGGCGATGCTGTCAACAGGTAACTATCGCCGTAAGCAGGATCCCTGGTTTTTCAATATCATACACGACCACGACCAAAGGCCAGCAGAGGCTAGAGCATCCGTCCATGCATACTCCATATCAATACTGTGTGTGATTTAGATATATTCATTTCTCCCTGCAGGGATCTGCACCGAGTTCCCGCCGGAGTACGCGTGCTCGAAGATCCTGTACTCCAGCGGCTGCGACGATAGGTGCCCAGACGAATGCTTCAGCCAGCTAAAGGGCGACGGGCTATGCATCGGCGAGGCGTGCCAGTGCTCCTACCTCTGCAGGCCGCCACCTAGTGACATCTGATCGATCTGATGATAGGCCATGCAGCAGGCAGTGGTTGTGACAGATATCCAAGTATCCTCCTGTACTAAGACAGAGGCTGCTTGTTTTGCCAGTGACAAATCTGCGTGGCATATATGCAATGTATTCTGTGCTCCATAGCGGGACTATTCCTAATTACCACCTGATGGATGCATGAGTTCATCTTCATTACTTGTGTCTTGCTCTTGCATGGTGAGCAGGGGAGACTTATCAGAGCTAGGATTCCGATATAGGGGAGCGGCCTGCCGGGGACCAATCTATCAAATATCGATAAAATTCCTAGAACGCGCGGTAAAATAAATGTGAAATAGAGATATATAATCATACATGTACATATATATTGATTTATACATAGCACAAATAGCAAAAATGATGTAGCATATGTTTGGTAATATAAAAGGAAGACATTTTAGTTACATCTCTACTAACTTTAATTTAACTCGAGGAGTACCAACTAGATCATAAGATTTAACAATATCGTTGGAAGTAATCTTGGCCACAGTTTCCTTTTTAATGTAAACTATCATGTAACTTTGCAAAAGGCCATTTCCAATTTTACTACTGGTATGCCTTGACAAGTTTTATTACTGTAAAGGTCCTCTCAGTGGTAGTAATTGATACTAGAAGAGTTATGATTAATCTTTGGAACCTGTGAACCATTGGATAAATAGTTTTTTGACTAGCCCCCTTGTTTTGAAAAGTACATTTGGATTGTTTTAATAGATCATGGTTTTATTTAGCAGCAATTAAAAGTGTCTATACTGCTTGACACCTGAAGAGAGAAGTATCTATACTATGCTATAAGTATACTGACAAGAACCCCAATTTGCTGGAACGTTTTAAGTTTTGCAGGAATCTCGCAACCAGTTACTCCAAGCCGATTATCTAAATGAAATTAGTAAGAAAATAATGATGTCAAATCTTGAATTTTCCACTATAAAACTACCCCACATCAACCGTTCAGAATCATAGGCATTCGAAAACTATATACAGCAAAACCATCAAACAACTGCATCCCACTGGCCATGAGAATGAGAACCTACCATGGAGCACTGCTCCTCGTCCTTGCCATGGTGATGGCGATGCTGTCAACAGGTAACTATCCATAAGCAAGACTATTGGTTTTCAACTGCACGACCATAGCGTCAGTAGTGAAGTTCGTAGCAATGCCGTAGTGATCTGATCTCCATTAATTTCTCCCTGCAGGGATCTGCACAGCACCGGTGCCAGCGCCGACGCCGGCGCCGAGCTCGGAGGAGTCCCCGACGACGAAGCACACGTGTTTGAAGGTCCTCGCCGACAGCGGCTGCGACCGCAAGGCGTGCCACGGCAACTGCTTCATCAAGCTCAAGGGCAATGGAGTGTGCCTCCGCGACGTGTGCTGGTGCTCGTACACCTGCACATCGCTGCTGCCGCCGCCGCCGGCCCGGTGAAATGGCCATACAGGCAGCGGGCAGCCGAGATGACGTTCAGATTCCTGTGACATCCGATCCTAGCATCCTAGGAGAGGGAGACTGTTTGTTTTGCTAGTGTCAATCTGTGTGGCATGCAGTGTATTCTGTTCTCCGTAGCTGCACTGTTGCTAATTACCATGCTCGAGATCGAGAATAAATATGAGTTCTTCATGCCTTGCGCTTTGAGAATTGTGTGCCAACACAACGGATACACGTTCTAAATGGCTCACTTATGAAAAGAAATTTCATGTGTTGGGTATTGCAGCTTTATGTTGGGCCATATAAAGTCCGTAGCAAGGCCTGTTTTGAGGGCAAGTTGATTAAAAATCCAATTGAAATCTTATGTCATGCATGTGCTCTTATGCGATTTTGGACAGATTTGTATGCTGAGATGGGCAGATTCTCTCTTTCTAAAGAAAGTGTTGGTTATCATCAGGTCAAAAACTACCGCGAAGTTCAGAACTTCCTCCCTCTCCTGATTTCTACTACCATACCCAAAACCTCCATGAACTGTCTAAAAAACTGCGCTTGTAGTACCTATATGCCCATTAAGATCTCCTATAAAAAGCTTCTCACTACTAGATACAACTCTAATCAGGCCATCTTAGTCTTCCCAGAACTGTTTCTTAGCACTCTCGTCGAGGCCTTACTTGCGGGGCATACGCATTAATTACGTTCAAGACCATATCACCAATGACAAGCTTGACTAAGATAATCCTATCTCCTTGCCTTCTCACTCTCCACCACACTATTCTTGAGGCTCTTATCAATCAAAACTCCTACTCCATTTCTATTCGCGACTGTCCCTGTGTACCAAAGCTTGAAACCTACTCCATTTCTATTTGGAGATATAAATATTGCTAATATTTTTTACAAATCTAGTTAAACTTAGAAAATTTGGCTGGTATGGATATCATAGTGACACTTATTTTTGGGACAAAGGGTTTAAAGAAGTCATATAGTTTGGGTAGTTAGAAATATGATTTATCGTTCGTTCCAGCAGTGCATTGATCAATTTTTAAATTTTTAATGAAAAATTGTACAGACTTATCGGGTCTTGGCCCCTGCTCCCCCTATCTCCGCGGGCAAGCATAGAAGTTCTCAGCCTTTCAGCATACTAATCTAGTATTAGAGCATCTCCAACAGCCTCTCTAAACACTTCCGTAAATGCCGGTTTTGCGTTTTTACTCCAGAAAATCAATCCAACAGCTTCGCTATACCGCATCTCTCGCTCGGCAAAACAGGCGAGTGGGCATCGCTCGCCATCCGCTCGTGGCTCGCATTTCCCGCACACGTGGCTTGCCCTTCCGTGTGCTCCTCGCCTACCTGATGAAAGAGTCAAGACTCGTAGGCCTTGTTCATGGATACATGGTGATTTATTTGCTGGATTGTCTGGAACTCGATGAACACGGCCTAGAACTTGCTGGAGAAATGCATCGTCGGCCGGGAAGGTGTTGAACTCGCCGGTGGACGCCACCTGCTCGGTGGGTGTGGCGTAGCTGTGTGTGTCTCTCTCTGCTTCATTGGCTGCGCACTTCGGAAAGTGCCTCTGTTGGTGGAGCAAGAAACACGAGGCATCTCTGGCACTCTGGAAGCTTCCTGTCAGTCCTCATGGTGGTTGGAGGCCTCAGCCTCGGCTTCTGCTTCCGCTCTCACAAAGAAGAACGACGACTGTGGTGCTGAGTTTAGCTAGTGATTTAGAAAATCTGTTGCAGGAAGTAACGATTTGGAGTGGCTAAATTGATTTAGAGAGTCCATTTCTCTACTTTTCAATAGCTAAATATACAGTCTCTTGGAGTTGCTCGTACAAAAAAAAGTGACCCACATGTCCTCTTCTAAGTAGAATCATATTTACGGGGTGTTTGATACAGGTGCCTTCCCAACGAACGATTGAGCTGACTACAACTTTCTATTTTTGGTAAAAAAATAATTCCACAACTTTTCTTTTTTTTAGAAAGTTTTACTTTTTTTCTCTAATGCAGTACAAAAAGCAAAGCATTTACTTTAACTTGTTATAACTTCTAAACTGTGTATTTATTTTAAATTTCGTCTGCACCAGTGTGTTCTACGCGATAAGATGATCAAAACTAGATCCCACTTAAATATGTTTCAAAGAATTTTTTTTCTTAGTAGCAAATTGTGTGTACTAACTTATAATTTATATATAACATATAACTTATGTACACAAGTTATATATAATAATTTATTATAATAACTTATGTACATAAGTTATCTAGAATAACTTATGTACACAAGTTGTGTTTGATAACTTCTGTGTGTAAGTTGTGCTTCATAACTTCTGTGTTTATAAGTTAAATCGTTCCTTTTTATGTTAATAACTTTTGTGTTTGCAAGTTTTGGCATAAGTTATAAGTTCATTTGTTCCTTTGTATTTAATAACTTTTTAAAAATAAGTTGTATTTCATAACTCTTGTGTTTTCAAGTTTCTCGCATAAGTTATAGATATAAGTTATATGTTATAAGTTAGTACACATAAATTATACTAGAATAAAATTCTTCGAAATATATGCAAGTGGGGTCTAATTTTATTTGTCTTGTTGCGTAGAACACATCGGTGCAAATGGAATTTAAAATGGATATACCATTCAGAAGTTATATCAATTTAAAATAAATACTTTGCTTTTTTAAGACTGGGCCAGCACTGACGTCACCGGAGAGTGCTTGCTGATTACTTTCCAAATAGGGGTAATAGGTTGGATTTTTTTTCCATAAAAGGAAATTAGAGTTGTCTGAAAATTATTCGATGGATTCCCACCGCGTGAGCGTTCCCTCGTTAGTGGGGCCGCTTTAGTCCCTGTCATATTAGATATTTGGATACTAATTATGAATATTAAATATAGACTAATTACAAAACTAATTTTATAAGTAGTGACTAATTCGCGAGACAAATTTACTAAGCCTAATTATTATTGTTGATAGGAATATCTGCTCGTATACTATTGCCTTTATACGCAGATCACACTGTCCACACCTTTTGTTTTTGGCTGTCCCTACACGAAGAATATATAGTTTTCTAGGCTTCAACAAATTGTATGTTAGACACACCATTTTATTTTCCAAAGGATGGAGAAATCTTTGCTTTAATATGCTGTAGTAAACAAAATTAGCATAATTTGCTAAGTAAAACTAGACCAAATAACCATACAACTAGGAGGCGCGCCACACTTCTCCAAATAATTACAGTACGACAACCAACACAATTAAATTGGGGTTTTCTATATGGCAAAACCGCAAAACCTCCATTCACACATACAACTCCGCTGAAGCACAACTCAACAGCGACAACTTCACAACTACTCCTACAACTCGGAGCAACAACTCAACATGTTGGTTGGTTCATCTTAAATAATTACTGCGCAACATGCACCATAACACATGACAAGATTTAGATTGAGCTAGGATAAACCACACTCCTAAGGTCACTCAATGACGAAGGCTGATGCTAAACATTGCGGTGAGAGATTCATTATGGCCTAAAGATTGAGAAGTTGATTTCCTTTTTGGAAGCGGATGGAGAAATTGATGATGGTACTGATATTCATGTATTGCTCTAATGGCATGTGTTAGAATAGACACTTATATGCGGTTAGGTTAGTGCATTGTGCTACATAACTCAAGCTCGTCTGTTAGACGATTGCTTAGTCCATTTAACGGCTATATTGTGGCTAATCGTGTCTATTTTGTCCAAAATTTCTCCCATTTCGGTCAAACTATAGGTGACTGACCATTTAGGTTAGGTGAACACATGCCTAGTGTGGTGTTCGGTGGTCCAATTCATGCATTTCTTGTGTCAATGAATACTTCACCTGCCTCACAATGTGACTATTACTACGCTGGTTAGAGCTACTTCCGCTTCCTTAAATTTTAGTAGGAGAAATAGGAATGCAGTTATTGTAATCTGTTGGCTTAATACATCATAGCTTTCTTTGGCAGCCATTAAAAGTGTATCTAGCTATATATACTGCTTTGGAAAGAAATAAAGAAGTATCTATACTATTTGTATTTTGTTATGGCAAGAACCATGAATTTGTGGAATGCTTTAACTTTTACAGTAATCTCCCAATCAGTTACTCAAAGTCGGATTATCTAATTCAATAAAATGACCAAAGAAAATAAGAGCTAAAACCTTGCTTTTCCACTATAAAACTACCCCACCCCACCCCATCAGAATGCATAGGCATTCAGTAACTATCTCCAACAAAACCATTGAATTAAACAACTCCACCTCTAGGCTGTAGCTAGGCTTGATACGACAACGTCCGACAATGAGAACCAGTCATGGAGCACTACTCCTTGCTGTTGCCATGGTGATGGCCATGCTGTCAACAGGTAACTATATGTCCTTATAAGCAGGACCAATGGTTTTTCATATCATACATGAACACCACCAGAGGCTAGAGCGTTCGTCCATACTTCCATAGTAATATTGTGTGTGATAGATATATCCATTTCTCCCTACAGGGATCTGCACCACGCCAGCGCCAGCGCCGGGCATGGAGGAGTTCCCGCCAGAGTATAGGTGCTCGAAGGTCCTCTACCCCAGCGGCTGCAACGATAAGACGTTGACGACGTGCGAAAACAAATGCTTCAACCAGCTAAAGGGCGACGGGTTGTGCATCCGCGGGGCATGCCAGTGTTCCTACATGTGCAAGCCGCCGCCCGGTGACATCTGAATCTCATATAGGCCATGCATACACAAGTGGCCCACCAGGAAGATAATGAGATTTGTGTGACATACTAGTATCTTTTAGTGGTTTGTTTTTGTAACGAATCGGGTAGAAAAGCTACCGATTATATTAATAAAGAAAAAAATTTGGACTAGACAAACTATGTCACTGAAAGATTTTACGATGGAAAACAATAGCTAACACAACTTAAACAACTCAACCAAAATAATCCGCATGCAACATAAGCAAACAACAACGTGACAAACTACAAAGAACATAAACAGCTAAAGTGGACGCATGTTTTGCCAGTGATGTGTGGCATGCAATGCAATATATTTTGTGCTCCATAGCTGCACTATTACTAACTACCACCTGATACATGAGTTCGTCTTCATTACTACTTGTGTGGTCTTGGTAGGAGCATCTCCAAGAGTTCCAAAAAAAAAACAATTGGTAAATGAATGAGTTTCCAAGTGGCTAAAAAAGTTAGGAGCACATTTGTTAGCTTTCTCTAACGGTTTACAAACCTTGTTCTTAAAAGATACAAGACAATTTTGCATCAAAAGTTTTGGACTATTTCCAAATCATCCAATCACTTTATACTTTTTCTTTCTCTTGTACACATTTCCTTTGGGAAGATTGACCGATTAATACGTGCGCATATATTTCGGCATGATTGGGTGCAGAAAGATTAGGACTTGAGATAGAGGGTTGTTGGAGAGCTTTTTTTAATCTTGCTAAAAATGAAGATTAAGAGTGAGTTTCGAAGGAGATGCTCTAAGGTCAATCTCAATGGGGGTTTCATGAAGTTTTATGGGAATTAAATTAAATATGCTGACATGTTGACGAAGAGAGAGATGATAAAAGTTTCATAGGAGTAGAGAGAGTTTCATGGGGATAAAACTCTTCCACTCTACTTCCAAAATATGAGTGTGTTTGAAACCGAGAAATAAAACTACACTGAAACTGGTCTAAGCAGCCGCGGGCAAAATACCCACACCACCGATATGGCGACACGCATGGTCCATTGGTCCACAATTCCACGTCCAATGATCCAAGTGGAACGTCGTCACGACTCCACCTGAAGCTATGAATAAGAGCATCTCCAGGAGACTCTCCATATCCTTCCTAAATGCTATAAATAGAGATTTTGGTGAAAAACTGTCCTCAAACAGCTTATCTAAATGGTCATCTAAATATAGCCATATTTTATTCCGGATTTTTCGCTAGTCAAATATAGAAGACGAGAATGACTCTCCAGAGTGTGCATGAGATATAGAAAAATTGTTGGAGAGTGAAAATATATAAAAAACGATTTTTATGTAAATGTCTCTTTAAATAATGATTTATAGAGTGAGATTTAGAAATGCTCCTGGAGATGCTCTGATGACATGACGAGAAAGCAGTCGAAAAACTTCAATACATGGGCAAGGCTTCAAGAAGGAACGGATCAAGAGGCCCAATGATCCACGCTACGTTGGGCCAACTGGGTTAGCAAGTAAACGTACCAAAGGGGCAGCCCAACTGTGTGTAAACAGAGAGGAATCCAAACAGAGACGTCAATACCTTCTGAAGAAGGGAGGCGTGCAGAAAGGGAAAGCTTAGGCTACAATTGGTTCAGGATAGGCGCTGTCGGTGGTGGAATTGGAGGTGAATTGGTATCTATGACTATCAAATTCTCTCGATCTCAGTCAAATCCAGTACTAATTCCCTAACATCTGACATCACAGCTAGGTTTCTTCCACCCTGGATCCACCCACATTGGTCATACATATCTGGTAAATATTGGAGCAATGGCTCTCCCAAGGCAGATGGACCGGTTTCGCAGATCCTAGCAAAGATTGAGGAGGGAAATCGAGAGACACAACGCATGATGGAAGAGTCGAAGGTTTCTCTGCAACTGCAATCCATAGAGGATTCAATGGAGAAGCTCACTGCCAACCAGGGTAAGGTGGAGTGGAAGCCCGACGTCGACAAGAAGGTGGACGAGCTCCGCGACGCCATGTTCAATTCGGGAAGAAGATGGACCTGTTCAGTGTTCATGGGAAAGTTTCCCACGAGTTGATGATCCACTGGTCGCAGGGGCGACAGCGAGATCACGACGGACGAGAGAAGGGCCGCGGTGAGACGTTAAGTTCCGTGTATGTATGAACGATTCAAGTCTATGCAGTACGTGATTTAGTCACAGGGGCAAGATCGTTCTTTTCGGTGCCTGAAAATAAAATAAAAATGAAACTAAAGAGGAGATAGATATGGACAAAGAGTCTGCATGATAATTTTGCAGAACAAACTATAGACGTGGTAAATTTGAAAAGCCCACTATTGAGTAAGGGGTTTCAAGCCCACTATTGAGTAAGGGGACGGCTAGTGCCCGGATGTCCGGCGTGCTGCGTACGTCCGAACGCCTGCTCAGTCCACCCGTGTCCACCTTCGCCTCCGCCCCACGCGCGGACGAGTGTGCCCCAGCGCGCCCCTCGAACGCAGCACCCTCATCCGCCGGCCCCTAGCAGCCCCAGTCTGCTAGACCTCCGGCACGCCACGCGCCCCCAGCTCGCCCCTCGGCCCGCCGCGTCCGCCTTCGCACCGCTCCACACATGCGAAGAGCACACCCCAGCGCCCCCCTCGACCGCAACACCCCCATCCGCCGGCCCCCGGCGAGCCGCGTGCCTCCGTCCGCTGGCCTCAGGCTCGCCCCCGGCCGAACAACATAAAACGCTTGAATAAAACACTTGCAACATGGAACAACTTGCAGCAACATAAGACTGAAACAGCTGAAACATTTGGAACATATTATTGCAACATTTGTGTGAAGCATATGAAACTTCCAGATCAGAACGATTGCAACATACGTCTAGAAACATGTGAAACATTTTGAACAAATGTTTGCAACATGCCTCTGAAACACTTGCAACATATGCAACATGCACAACATCTCACGATCTACTTTTGCAACATCAAGATGAAACAATTGCAACATACTTCTGAAACGTCCGAAACTCTTGAAAAATACATTTGCAACATACGGGTCCTCCCTGCCGTGGTGTCTTCAGCCGACCGCGGGAGACGATGTCCCGACCGGCGACGACCTTCTCCCGGTGGCGCCGGGGTGGATGGTGGCGGTGCACGCCGTGGCCGCGGCGGATGGCCGCGAGGAGGCGGAGTGGGCGCGGGGCGACGCTACATGGTGCAAGATGGGTGCGCGTGAGGGATGGCGGAGTGAGCGGCCGGGCGAAGGACTGGGGCACACGATGGCGGCGTGAGGCGGCCCAGCGCACGCGGGGATGGCCACGGCGGCCAATGGAGTGGGACGGGTTGGAACTTTTTTTGGAGGAGTGAGTCGTGGGTGGGATGGGGGGAGTGGGATGACCATGGCGGTCAGCGGAGTGAGTCACGCGGCATCCGGATGGGGGTGGACGCCCGTGACCAATCATTATCGTGCAACTAATCAACTTTTCAACTTAGTCTCTACCCAAGAGAATAATTAAAAAACAATTTAAACCCCTAAAAATAGCTAGCAGTCAAAAGCAATTTCGAAAGCTCACATTATGACCATGAATATACATTAATCAACATTGATACCAAGAGTAAATACATCCCTATATAACCGCTTGCCGACCAGGTCCATGAGCCCACCCGGCAATATATACAAGCAAAAACCAAGCAGCGCGCCGACGCTAGAGATGAAGACCGGTCTCGTGGTGGCACTACTGCTACTCGCCATGTTTGTTGTGTTGTCATTGCCTGCAGGTTTGGTCGATTATTCTCTGTACACAACACTTGAACTTCCAGTATTTCCCCACTCTCTCTTGGCACGTACTAGTCCAAACGACCTCGCCTGATTCGTTGCAGATAGCATGGCGGGCAGGGTTGGGCCAAACTATTTCCAGGACACCTGCTCGGCGACGATTTCCCCGGGGACGCAGTGCAAACCCCGCAAGTGCTCCGACGACTGCACCAGCCGATTCAGGGGCAGGGTGGGCGGCTGCGACCATTCCGTGTGTACGTGCGTCTACACCTGCCCCGCGACCCCGCCGGCGGCGAAGCGGAAACAGCTTATGTCTGATGTTAAGACTCGATCGATCGCGTAGCCAATCCCACTTGTGATCTTGTCCTGATGTACATGCAGCGACCGGCTAGTGTGTGCCCAGCCGCGACGGCTTTATTTTCTTCTGATGAATGAAGGACTGTATTTGAATCAGTAATACTCCTAAGGCGTTCCTCCGTCCTGATGGAACCCGTCTGCTCGCTCTGCGCGCTGCGCGCCCCCGCTCCCGGGACGGACCCCACCCTCGCCGAGGCCGCCCCTGTTCGCACCGCCCGCCCCCGTCCGGACTCGCGTCTCCCGTCGCGGCCGCGCTCCATCCGCTTGCCATGCCCCTGATGAGGTACGTGCCGCCGCCGAGCTCCACACCGTCGACCTCCACGCCACTCCGTGGCGTCAAGCTCCGCGTCGGTGAGACTCCATTTTCGTCGAAGCAGTAAGTAGATCTTGCGCTTGAAAGCACATGTTGCAAGTGTCTGTTTCAAGTGTTTCAGATGTTTTAGAGGTATGTTGCAAGTGTTTCATATGGATGTTGCAAAAGTAGATCGTGAGATGTTGCAATGGTTGTACACATATGTTGCAAGCTTTTGTTCTCAATGTTTCATTTGTTTTTTCAGATGTATGTTGCTAGTGTGTTTATCTAGATGTTGGATATATTTCACACATATGTTGTAAGTGTTTTATCTAGATGTTACGTATCTTTTACAATAGTTTTCAAGTGTTTTTCATGTGTTTTTACAAATATTTCATATGCATGTTTCAAGTGTTTTATTTGTCTTCAGACATTATGTTGCAAGTATTGCATCTAGATGTTTTCAAAAGTAGATCGGATGTTGTATCTCCCTCCTCGTTTTCTACAACCTCGCCTCAGTGTCTCCTCCTCCTGGTGCCGGCTGGGCATCCGCCGCCCTATCAGGGCGACACGGGCCCCGTGTGGGGCGCGCGAAACGGCGTAGCAAATGGCTGCAGGCGCATGCTTCCGAACACTCGGGCACTAGCAAGCCCGAATTTGAATTGGCTAGGGACGATGGCACCACAGTCTAAACCTTGAATATTCATCCCATGTTATGCTATGCATGGCTGAGGACAGCGCTGTATGTGAATATCAGAACATGTGACCATTTACATTTAGCCTGCTCGTATTTGCTCTTTGTCATGCTATAGGACATTGTTTCGATGGAATGTAGTAAGGTCAAAATAATAGTATTCTATATTGAAGGATTTAGCATGTTAACTCTACTCTCCTTGAGTGTGGGGGTATAACCTCCGATACCAGCAGGGTTGTATATGGGCCGAGCCGTTAGGGAAGGTCTAGCCCACAAGACTGTGCATGGGCCACGCCACTGGTGGAGGCCCGGCCTACAAGAATGCGCCGTGCGAGGCACAACACAGGTCGGCGTGCCTCGCAAGACTACGTGAAGATCTTCGGCGATTCAGGAGACCTGCTCGAATATGCCAGATCGCATAATATATGTAACTTCCTATCTTGTAAAACCGATAAGGATAGAAACAACCAATCTGTAACCCTACCCCCGAGCTATATAAGGTGGGTAGGTTCCCTCACGCGTACCTCCACCGATTCATCTACTACCATGGGCATACCGTTCGGTAGACTGCCGGACGTATTTCATCGACAGTGGCGCTCTAGGTAGGGGGTGTGCGTGCTGAATTCATGGCGTACCAGATGGTCACTTTCCCGAGCTCCATGGCCTTTCCCGAGCTAGGCCAGATCTTCACGGTCAAATCCATGACCTAGGTCATCGGCCCCGACGACAACGGGGAGATCGTGGAGGTGCAGAATCACCCTGCGCCAATCACGCCAACACCTGCAACTACATCTCCGATCCCGGCGCCCTACCGCTGGGTTAGGAGATCCATCAGCAATGATGATCTGATCGGATCCATCGATCAGGTCACAAACCGCTTAGCAGAATGTCAGCTCCTCTTGGATTCGATCTCAGATCAATCTAGTGCGAGCGACGAGTTTCTCGTACTTCAAGATCACCACGCCGCTGTAACCGAGCGACCTGCTCGGCCACATCGTTCAAGGCGGCCAAATTTCGATCTGGCGATCATGGCTACTCTAGAGGGGCGCACGGTGCGGCGCCGACCACTTCCCGCTACCGACCTACGTTTGGTCGACTCGAGGCCCCGATGGAGGACCCGCTGAAGCCCTATCCCTTTGGGCTGGAGGGTGCGGGATCTACGTACTAGAACGCCATCGACCACCTCTTTGTCGACCATGTCGAGCGCGACCATGTCACCAACCTCTACATCATCAATGGTGGCTGTTCGCCAGCATTCGGATGAACCCTCTCCTCCAACCGAAGATCTCCGTAACGTTCTGAACAAGAGCTCCGACGATTATTCTGAGGGCTCAACCAAGACTGCATCGAGCAGCCCTGCTTTCCCTCCAGGATTTAGGGGCATGATCTTCAACATCAGCCACGACAGCGTCACCAAGGATGGCGAAACAGCTGAAGAGCGCTAAGCTCGTCTAGCGAAGAACGCCGATCGCCAACGTCGCCGAGATGCAGAAGTAGCCCATGTGGCCGACGATGATGGTCGCGGCCCACCCCACCATCAACGTAATCTGGAGGAGGCGTTTGACATGGTGGGCGACCAGCCATTTTACTAGACTCCAAGCGCCAATCTAGCTGTCACTTTCAACAAGCTCGACAAACTCCCTCACACTCCAGAGGTCGAGAAGGTCCGACCACATATCACAGCAGCGCAAGTCCAAGTCAACGAGTTCCGAAACGATGCCCCATCTTATTCCACCACATCAACTCATAGCCGCCACTCTCGCCGCGATGGAGGAGTCCAGCATCACAGCGCCGAGGGCCCCCGACCCTAGGCTGGAGGTCCCTACCTCCATGGAGGATCCAGAGGCAACTACGAAGCTCACTCATGCCACGACGGTGGCCCACCGCACCCCCAGGGAGGTCGGGGCAGCAACCGCAACTATGAGGTCAATCAACCCCCTCGTGACCTTCGTGACCACATTAACGCCGGCGCAGATG